AAACTAACAATGAAAATATTTTAAAGATGTAAGTAAAATTGTAGTTAAATAAAATGAATCCTAACCTAAACTTCTTTTAAATTGTAATTAAATAAAACGTTTCCTAACCTAAAGACCTCCCTATTAGTACTACACGAACTTAAAAGAATCCAATAAAACACCCACAGTAAAATGAAATTAATATGAAATACTAGAAGATGTAGTAAGCTTTTGAATGACCCATGTCCTTTGTACTTACATGAGAAACAATATATCACTAGGTTTATATAAAAAATAAAAGTTTACTAAATCAGTGAAAGTAAGTAGCTATTTTTGCCGTGATGGTCATAAATTTTACTTAATTAAAAAAAAAATTGTAACCTCATAACATACATACTTATACTTGATGTGAAAATAATTCTACATACTGTAAGGGATTCTAATACATTTAATTGTTCTTAAAACAAATATAGTATATTAAAAATTAAAAGTGAAAAAATTTCAAATCGTAGTTAAATAAAGCGTATTCTAACTTAAACACCCACCCAAAATCTTTAAATATAAAAAATAGGGGGAAAAAATGCCGTAAAGATTTTTGCCGTTAACAATAAAATTTTTTTTAAAAAATCCAGAGGACATGCATTTAACGGATGTTAGATTTCATTGAAAAATACATCCCTACCCCCTCCGAACAGTAGCAAATAACTGATACATCTAAATATAGACATAATGAACGCGCAGACACCCCTAGTCTAGTGAAAGTGGTTTTATCTGTAACCTTGGAAACGTGAATTATGATTTTAGCTGTGTCTTTAAAACCCAGTAATTTTAAAAGTTACTCCAAAATTCGCTTGAGGATGAAATGGAACTAATGTCTTTAATTTAATTACAAAATTAAATTCTGAGCTTTTAGCTTCCATTTTTGAAACATGGTTAGAACTATGTAGCGGAAAAAACATATTTAGAATCAATTAATTTATAATATTAATGCTCTGTAAATTTACATTGAGCACTATTTTGTAAAATAAAATATCTATAAGAACACCGGATTATATATCTTACTGTTCTTTCTTTTTATATATATATATATATATATATATATATATATATATATATATATATAGTTAACTATACTCGTCTCGAAAACCTTCGAATTTTTGATTTGCCAATAATCAAATCAATCACGAAGGAAAAAAAGGTTTTAAAAAAAGAAAGAGCCAAGAACATGAAAGTCTGTCAAAAAAATCGCACAGATACAGGTTCAAAGCCCAAAGAAAAAAACCCGACACGAATAAACAACTAACTAAAAAGAGCTCAATACAACCGTAGAGCAGACCGTCAAACCTATTGAGCCAGACAAATCTACAGGTTTGACTATATATATATATATATATATATATATATATAAATCCAGGAAAAAATGATCAGCTATTAAAGAGTCTGCCCAAAAGTGCTCAATGCCATAACAAATGGCAGAGCTTCAATATTAATTTAAAAACCAGGTTGACAGTAGCTTATACTATGAGTTTCATGTGCTTGTACGCAATCTTCAAGCAGCCAGTGGCTGTAGTAGTAAGGTGAGCACTTTTCTGTCAGTAGGCTACTTTTGGGCAGACTCTTTCAGGGCTGCTCATACTTTCCTGGATTTATTCTCTAACGTGAATTTGGTTGTCCGGTTATGTTGTGCCCTTTTTCGGGCTTAAGGCTTCAGCTCCTGTACCGTGACACTAGTTTCATTTGTTATTGAGCACTTTTTTGCCATACTGGCAAACCTTTCCAGGTGGAGCCTTTTTTCACACCTATTTCAGATCTTGGTTGGATGATTTACCCTCCCTACCGGGGCGAGTTCGGTTTATTTGTCAAACTCAATTCGCCCATTGGTATATAAGGTACTCACCATACGACTACAGACACTGGCTGCATGATGATTGCTTGTCCAGCGTTAGTTCTTTGGCATACGGACTCTTGAATTCATGTTAAGTGTTCTATTTAATTTTTCTTTTTACTTTTCTCTCTTCTATTTTTCAGTTTAATTGCTGTCTTATTTTTTTGTTCATTTTTATTTAATTTTACACCTGTAGGCATTTTAATCTTTAAGCCAAACTCCATTTTTCTTTAATTTTTTAATCAATCTTTTTACCCTCACCACAGTTTAGTTTGCAAGCAAGACTATTATTTTTTACTTCGTCTCACTTTAATGTTTTTCGACGTTTGAATGGTTGTTTTATTTTCAGTAAGCCTAGTTTTAATGGTGCTCCCCTGACCCCACCTTTTTTCTTTTTTCTTATTTTATTTATCTATTTATTTATTTTATTTTTTTGTGTGTGTTTTATGCGTGTGACTTGTTTTTGGCAAATTCAAGTTTTATTTATTTTTATTTATTTTTTGGACTACCCTCGACTCCGTTTTTGTTTAGTTTGAAATTATAAAAGAAAAGAAAAAAGAATTATATTGGCAGCACTAATTTAGTGCTGCCAATGAGTGACGCGGACGAAACACCGCCGGTGCCCGGCGAAGTAAAGCAAAAGAAGGAAAAAAAGGCCGAAGAAAGAGCGGCTTACTACACCAAATTGTAAAACAAACATGAGGAATTCATTAAAGGAAATGACTTCCTCACAATTACAGAGGCGTTGAACGCCGTGAATACTCGTACAATCTCCCGGCTGACCACCGACGTGAAGAGTCAGAAATTAATTGGGTTCAGCGGGGAAACCATGGAAGAGGCGCTAAAGACTTTGAGCGTTTCACCACAGGTCCTAGCCAGGAGATCGAATGCGTACATTCTCCTGACTAGCAAACAAGAAGCTAAGAAACTGGCCGGGAGTATACTAAAGTCAGTGAGGCACCAGACTGAATACATGGGGACTCATAAAACGAGGATAAAATGGTGGGCCGGTGGACATTAGTGTAGGTCGGACGGGGGCCGTTTTTTGCCAAGTACAGACAGGTGGACGAGGTCTGTTCTATCATTAGTAAATCCGGCATCGCCACTGCGGACATTGTTCTGCATGTTACCCTCACTTGACAGTGATTTGGCGAGATCCCAAATGTGCTGTGAAAAACGGATGCTCGTCGTTGTAGAAGGCCAGCGACCCTTTTGTCTGACGTGTAGTCCCTCGAGCACATGTTAGAAGCGTGTCCCAGAAAGAAGGTAGCAGCACAACCACAACCAATGACAACAGAAGCAGCAACAGGAATTGAAAAGCCCCCCCCCCCCTCCTAGCGGTGTCTGGGCGAAGGTGAAGAGGGGAAGGAAGGCGACAAACCCACCCTCTCCCCAACAGCGGGACGTTCACCTTCCGAAATATCATCAACTACCACCGCAGGAGAGGAGCGAGGAGGTGCAAAAGCAACAACAACTACAGTAAACGCTGCAACAAGAAAGACAGAAGACACCAAAGCAACATAAAAAAAACGACAACAGAATCAATAAAAGAAGCAGCCAAATATACACCAACAAAAAGAGCAAGAGCCACAAAAACAACCACAACCTAAAAAGCAGCAACGACACGATGCAGAGATGGAGATGGGGGAAATGCCTCCACCTCGCTCTTCATCTCTGAAGAGGACCAGAGAGGAGGAAGAGGAAGTGGGAAAACGTGCTGGGCGAAATGGCACATGGACAAAGCGAGGTCCCTATCCGTCCCTGCTTCGCGAAAGGAAGTTGCAGAAATTGTCTTGTCCAAAGCAAGGAGCCTCACCCACTTCCCCTACCCGAGATCTGTCCCCACCTCCCACCACCCCTCCGCCAGCCCTCCTTCACTCATCCATTTCTTCCTCGTCCCACCCCGCCAGGGAAAAGAAAAAGAAAAAATATTTCCCCGGCTCAGATACCATAGTAGGCAGGAAAGAAGTAGAAAAAAGGCTTTCCAACCAGAAAAAAAAAGCCTTATTAGGCCTTTTGTTTAAAATGGCCACAGTTGATAGAAAGTCTGTAGAGGATCCCCGCAATTTTCCAAAGGCCCAGGGGTTATTATTTGCGTGAGAGATACTGGGGGCTACCTCCTATTTGAGGCCAAGGACGCATTCCCTGATATATAAGGATGTTCGAGTTGGGTTCTCTCGATTTGAAGAATGAGATTTTGCGCAGAGAGGGTCCCGGTGTTGCTCCATACCTTCTTATATAGATTAGTAAAACTAACCTATCTGGACGTTGGCGAAATTGTCCTGGACCGGCGGATGACGTCGGAGTTGGGCACAGGTAGACTGGGACAATCCGTCGGGGTCCTTTCAACTGCAGATTTCCTCCTGGTATGTGAATAGGTTGACAATTTTTTCTCGTTTCATATCTAAAGAATGCCTATCAAGATAGCCAGTCTGCATGCGAATGGAGATTGGGGTAAGGCTGCCCGCCTTCTACGTGACCTATTGTCATTCAGTGTGGATGTCGTCGCGATTCAAGAGACCCACTTTATATGCAATGTCGTTGCGTGACGGGCCAGAAGGGTTTCTTTGCTGATAAAGCGTACCCTGGACTCAAAGGTGGACCTTGTCCACGTGGATGCCGAGGGCTGGTTGATCGTAGCCGATGTTGCCGTGAAATTTGGCTCGTTTCGGATGGTTGCGGTTTATACGACCAACGACCGTGAGGAGCGTGTCTCGTTTTTTCGGCAGTTGGGGCTGTTCCTGGTGGATTCAACGAGCCTAATTCTAGTAGGGGACTGGAATGGGAGTTGGATGTTGAGTTCAATGTTCACTGTTATATTTACACACGCTCTGTCTCTGATATTGGACACTTTATTCCATAAATATAGCACACCTTAAGAGTATATTTCTTCATATATATATATATATGTGTGTGTGTGTGTGTGTGTGTGTGTAATGAACCATTCTGTTTTTACTAAGAGGAAAATCGGAAGGAAATATATATCAAAGACCTGGTTATGTTTTTAGTGAGAAAGAGAAATACATAATATGATGAAAGGCGATAACGCTCTCATGCGTTTAAAGTCTGCTTCAGTAAAATGGAAAATTCATCAATTTTAAATCTTTTCATTGGTAACCTATTACTTTTATAAGGCTTACGGCTACATCACGTTGAAACACCTGTTAGCGTACAATCACCGAAGTTAAGCAACGTCGAACCTGGTCAGTACCTAGATGGGTGACCACTTGGGAACACCAGGCGCTGTCAGCTTGGATGTGCGGGTGGTCTAATGAATAATGGCTCGGAGTTGGGTTCGTTACATTCCCTTACGCGCAAAATACCTTTTCGGAAAACGTATCAATTTACCGTTTCTCTCCCACAAGACTTGTATCAATAAACCATCATTATCACAAAAAATTTCTACAATCTAAAAATATATTCTGGCTTTAAATAAACTACAAATGGTTGATAAGCCATAGAAAACGAATCAAACTATCGATTTTTTCGACTGCTTCTACATTTATGTAGGTACCTCCAAAAATTTTCTAAAAAGAGCATAGCATCATGAAAAAGGTCCAAAATTGATAAAAACAGCTTTATTGTCAAAATGTTTATTATTAAGAGGAAAGACCGAAGTATCTTTTTATTATTTTAATAATATTTTTAATCCTTTCTAGCATGTTCGAAATTTTGTTTAAAAATCTTGATTTTCTTGCGTCAGCGGATGGCAAACTTAGCATCTTTTTTTTTTTTTGCAATAAAAAAAACCCTTGTTTTGAAAATTCTTACAAAAATCAAGTAATTACCGAATTTTAATGAAATTTTCAGGATTTATTAAAAAATGAATTGGATTATTTTTTAAATACCTTTTTTTAGAAAATTTTGATATAAATATTTTTTACATCTGTTACCTACTCTTACTTAATTTTATGAAATTTCGAGAAATTTCAATTCCAGGATCTTTGTATTCATATTAGCTAAAAGCAGGACTCCTTGGAGAATTTAAAACATCATTTTGTTTTTGTAAGACAGAAACAATATTTCCCGAAAAGCTGCTCTGAATCGTAAAATAAACAATGCAATAAAACTATATTTAATTAGAAAATCTTTTACTTACTTTTAATAAATAAGATACATTAAGGACATAATTGTCTTAAGAATTTTTTTTTTCCACTAATATTGAATTTTTAAAAGAATTGTTTTATTTTTTAATTTTGATTAGAATTTTTTTTTTTAATTTTAAATCTTTTAAAATTCTGTATTACTTTCAGTGGTTTTGATGATATTATTATTATGTGTAAAATATATTTACTAATCATAAATAGAAAAGCTTAATACAAATCATCCAACACCAATATTGTAAAAATAATTTTGAATTTTTTATTAGTGTATAAACGTGCCGTTTTTTGTAAGTACGGGCAGCCATACACGGTATTATCAGAAAATAAGAGCGATGACTATAGTAAATTTAAAGCCAAAATTTCTAAAATTCAATAAAATATCAGATTACGCAGAATATTTTCTTAAATTTTGAAGATTACTGAGTACTTAAAAATTAAATTAAAAAGGTGCTTACGTCATTTACTTCAATTATGTTTTACAGGAAAATTTAGGTAGAAGATTACACCTGTCATCAGACACGTCAAGACAGCGACTGTCAGGTTAAAAATTGCCTTCCTGTGATACTTTTAATTTAAAGTAAATAATATTTGTTTCAAATCAGATTAATCGTACTTTAAAACAGCTAATGTTCCTCAAATAAATTTTCAAAAACGTATATTTTATTTTTGGAAGATTTTTTAATAAAGAGAATTACATTGTAATGGAAGACGACTAAAAAGGCCGCTAATCAACTACTTTAGAAAAAAAAAAGAAATTCTTTTCAGTCAATTTTAATTAGTTTTTGAAATACAGCAAAGTATTTTGCTTATTGGAATTATCAATATTATTTTTTTTTTTTATTAATAATATTATTTTTTGTGGAGGTCTCTGTATTCATGATTGCTATTGCAAGTCGTTAAGCTCAAACATTTAACAAGACAATGGAGAAATGTCCACGTCTATTTTGTATTTGTGGAACTCGTACGGAGATTCAATCATTAACTTTAAAATTGTGATTTATCATAAAATTCACATAGGAAACCCGTGAATATTTATCGGGTAATGTTCGTAAAGTTTCATTTATTCAACGGTGATCTTGATAAATGTTTTGCTAAGCTAGTTTACACGAATGACGAGCGTGAACAATGCTTTCAGGATTATAATTTGGTTATTTGAGTTGATATAGCCGAGAACTTTTCAGCATTACTTCATATTTCCACTGCTACAATTTCCACTGTCACATTTTTCGGCAGTAACTAAAAGTTAATACCGAAAAGTATAACTTTAATATAGAATGATCCGGTAGCTTTAAGACAGGGTAAGATCATGTAGCTTTAGAGCAGAGTAAAGTCATGTAGCTTTAAGGCAGGGTAAGATCATGTAGCTTTAGGGCAGGGTAAGATCATGTAGCTTTAAGAAAAATTTGCAGGATGTTTTAAGGACCTGTAAAGAATTTTATTCTGATATTTTTTACATTAATATTCTCCAAATACATTGGTATGGTTCGACACTGTGTGCGTGGCATGGCGAGTCGTAGCTGTGAAGGTCTGAATTGGTTGAATGAAGGAATGTTGATTGTCTGAAAATCTGTCATGAAAATAGTGACGGTGTAGCGACAGGGTTGTGACGTGTTGTCCGTGGAAAAGGTACTGTACGTTAAAATTTGAATCATACAAAGGACAGGAAATCGCGGAGAGCCATGATCACCAACGTCCTGAAGGGATACGGCACATAGAACAAGACGAAGAACGAGATTGTATAAATAGTTGGCAAAACTGGGATTAGGGGAGAGAGCAAAAATGCAAACTTTGCTAAGAGCTACAAAGGACAGGAAATCGCGGAGAGCCATGATCATCCACGTCCTGAAAGAGCACGACACAAAGAAGAAGAACGAACGAACGAACGAACAAATTTAGACAAGAAATTGTGGAGGGCCATGATTGTCCATGCTATAGGGGGACACGGCACGTCGAAGAGAAAGATAAACATCTTGTTTTCATATATGGCAGAATTGGGATTAAAAGAGATAGCAAAAGTATGAACTTTACTAAGAGCTACACAAAACAGGAAAATGTGGCGAGCCATGATCACCAACGTCATATAGGGATAAGACGCAAAGAAGAAGAAAAAGAAGAATCCTTACATTAGTTCATTATGTTTCATAGGCAATATAATATAAAAATTTGTCCGAACAATTTAGGGTTGCGCTAATATGTCTTAATGAACTGTATGGACTTACAAAAGATTAATTATATTTATAATTATTATTTTTCAGACTGTTGTCCTAAAATACATCAATTAATCAACAAAATGGCCTCCACTCAAAATATTTAAATTGTCCAGAGTGTTTTTGTTCTTTTTGTGGATGATTGAAAATACCAAGCCTTACAATATAAAGCAACAGCGATACAAAACTGAAATCTGTTGAAATGTCTAGACTCGTCGGGGTTCAGAAATATAAAAAAAATATTCAGCGTCTTTACATCTTCAGCGTTTTTATCTCGGTGCATAATTCGGTGGGGCAGTTAAAAGTTGACAACTTCTTATTAAAGCCTTGTAAATGCCTCCAGTTGAATATAAAGATTTTATCATCGATATATTTAGTGCTAATAAATGACAAACAAAATTGAAAAGCAGTAATTATTAACTCGGAATGTTGATGTCATCAAGAAACCAAAATCAAAGGAAGATTTTATATTAACATCGGAGTAAGGACAAGATTTGAAAAGAGACAATAAATATTATGGAAACGGTTTTGTTATCAATACCAAATGGAAGAATAACATCTGGAGACATTGGAAAATCTCAATCAGAAGGTCAGTTTTGAAGCTCAAGACAAGAAGAAAGAAATATGAATGCATTCAGACTAAAGGTATATATTTTAAAATACATAGAGGAAAATTAATATTACGTTAAATAAATACATTAGTCATCGGATAGACATTGAACAAAGACATTAAAAGAACTATTAATAAAATTCCATCATTCCGAGTAAAAGATTTTGAAGAGCATGGAAGACCTGCAGTACTTTCATGGGTAACCAAAAGGTACAAAGTTGCTGAAGACAAGAAATCACACTGATTTGCCGTGTGCCTTCAACTTAAAACAGATTTGATGATTATGATAATGATGATGATTTTTTTTTTCGGCAGAGAAGGTAATGACTTTTCCGGTTGTCAATCGTTAAAAGTTGACAAATTCTTATTCAAAACTTTGTGAATGGCTCCAATTGCTTGTAGTTTTTGCCATCGGGATATTTTGTTAGAAACTTGTGAAAAAAGAAAAGTAAGAACGGTTAAAAGTTGGCAACTTATTTAAAAACCTTGTAAAAAAAAAACCTTCAGTCACATATAAAGATGTAACTAAAGGCATATTTTATGTTAGAAGAATTGTGAAAAACAAAAGCAAGAATCATTGGCTTGGGACATTGTTATTTATGATATATATATTGTCTCCATGAAACGAAAATCAAAGAAAGAAACTGATATTAATATCAAAATTAAAATAGCACAAGCTAATAACTTTGGAAATATTAAATATTATGGAAATGGTTTTGTCGTCAATACCAAATTGAAGAATAATATCCAGAGACATTTGAAAGTCTCAGACAGAATATCAGTTTTGCAGTTCAAGACAAAAAGGAACAAGAATGCATTCAGGTTTAAGGTATAAATCTTAAAATATATAGAATAAAATTAATATTAAATGTTAATAAATTAATATTTATTAATATTAGATCGCATATAAAGATTTTACCATCGGGATATTTTATGTTAGAAGACTTGTGAAAAATAAAAGCGGGAATTATTGGGCCGGAGCTTTGAGAGTTCTAACATTAATGCAAATGGTCTCCAAGAAACCAAAATCAAAGAAAGACTTGATATTAATATGGGATTTAGAAAAGATGTTAATAGTTTTGGAAACAGTAAATATCATGAAATTTGTCTTCTCATCAATATCAAATGGAAGAATAACATTCAGAGACATTAGACTAACAACCATGGAACTACAACATTAAAAGGAATATCAATAAAATTTCATCCTTGAAAATCTTGGAAAACCTGTAGCAGCGCTTTCGTAAGTAAGCAAAGGTTAGGAAAGAACTGATAAAAAGATATTTAGAAAGTTGCTGAAGATGAGAAAACATAATGATTTATATTCCACCTC